TTTTTTTTCAAATCTGAGTTGGGGGCTGTACTGCGCTTGCTGAGTACAGCCCAAATCCGCTGAGAAACTCTTGGGGATGGGGGGGAATATGAGGGGGTTGGGGTTGGAGTATAGGGGGGTATAGGGGTGGTATAGGGACTATTGAGGGGCCCAGGGGGTAATGAGGGTGTTGGGGCCGGTTTGGGGGCGGGTTGGGGGCGGGTTGGGGGGTTTGTATGGGGGTATTGGGGGTATTAGGGGACACTATGGGGGTGTTGGATGTGTTATTGGGGTTTCTGGACCCCTTTTTTTTTCTTTTTTCTTTTTGCGGGGTGCCGACGACCCCCGGCCAGTAGGTGCCGACCAGTCAAAGGTCGCCGACCGTCGGGGGGTGCAACAATGCCGGTCTTTTTTCTTTCTTTTCTTTTGTTTTGGCACTGGGGCTGCCAGGAACCCTGCCCGTGGACCATGCCCGGCCGATACCCAGGCGTGTACCTGGGCACAGGTTGGATGCCCGGGTGCCTGGGAAACAACCCCTCGGTTTGTAGTCCATTTTTTCGCCTCCTTAAATAAAGCATGATTGGGGAGATTTGGAGAGGACACTGCAAAGCAACTTTGAGTGGTAAAAGGCGGTGACCAAACAGGTGGAGGAAATTGAGATCAGAGAGACTTGGAAAAACTGCAGACAGCAAAGAGGTGGAGAGCGCTAACTTAGCCGACAACTTATTGACCTTTGCGAACTGGCTGGCAGGTGGAGAGCTCAGTACTTGTCAAACCCAAGACGAATCTCTTCCAGTCAGGGTCCGGGACATAAGTCAGAAGCTGAGGAAACCACAGCTGGAGGAGGGAAGGGGTATTGTGAGAAGTGGTGGGCATACCTGACACTCAGCGCCCCGCTTGCAGTGTTCAATGCTGTTCGGGGTTCCCCTGGCTGGAACACAGGGAAGTGTTGAGTGGGTCTCATTGTATTCTTTGACATGCTGGTGAAAAGGAACCGACCGATGCTCCCCAGAATAGAATGGAGCAAGTGACAAAGACAAGATGAGAAATGGCATTGGCAAGCAGCATTGTTACATGCCATATCTGGACAGCACAGCATCTGCAGCTTGTGACGACAAGAGCACACTTGGCTCATCATCAAACTCACCCTTTTGAGAGCAAGAAGCTTTGACTTGAACATCTCCTCGTTCACCAAAAACTCCTCCTCTGACAATACTCCAGTTCCTCCTCCACCCCCTCCTGCGCCGCCTCCCCCTCCACCGGCAAGGCCGTTGCCATCAACCTCTGCAGAATCGGATGATTTATCTGCCATCAAAGGCAAAAGATTCAAACAACGGGTTTAACATATGAGGTCACCCTGTGTTCTCAAGTTGTTGAGCAGGCAACATACCCAGGTAATTGTTTTCTTCTAGGACAACCTCCTTGGCACTGTTCTCAGAGAGAGAGAGGTACATACAGAGGCAGGCAGGCAGGCAGAGAGAGAGAGGGAGGGAGGGAGGGGAGAGGGAGAGGGAGAGGGAGAGGGAGACGGAGAGGGAGAGGGAGAAGAGGGGAGAGAGGGGGGAAGAGAGGGGGATAGAGAGAGAGAGGGAGGTAGATAGGGAGGTAGATAGGGAGATGGGGAAGAGATAGAGAGAGATGGAGGTAGATAGAGAGATAGAGAGGTCGGTAGAGAGATAGGGAGGTAGATAGAGAGATAGAGAGATAGAGAGCTAGAGTATTACAGAGGTAGACAGATAGAGAGGTAGATAGAGAGGTAGATAGATAGAGAGGCAGATAGAGCGGTAGAGATATAGAGAGGTAGACAGATAGTGAGGTAATTAGAGCGGTAGGGAGATAGCGAGGTAGATAGAGCGGTAGAGAGATAGAGAGGTACATAGAGAGGTAGATAGAGCGGCAGAGAGAGAGCGGTAGAACACAATGCAGTGAGGCGAGCACAACCAGTCGGCTATAGAATGGTGGGTTTCCCAGAATAAGAATTAAAGAAACAATCACAGTGAAGAGGATGATATCTTGCAGCAATTAGCCATGCTGCAATCATGGTGCATGAGCTCATTTTCAGAAAAAGCCAGCAAATACGGGGGGCATGCCCAGTATATGGACAAGTGAAAAGGGTGGCAAAAGAAACCATAACTGCAGAGGTTCCGGTAAGTAGATCATCGGTGAAATACATAAGGTTAGTGGCTGCTAGGTGCTTTGCTACAATCGATATAACGATAACCCAACAGAGTAGCACAACTGTATGGCCATGGAGCCTACTCTTGAATCACCATTTCATTCACGATGTCTGACAGAGACCAGCGGAAATGACGCACGTATAGGATATATGCATTCATGAACACAAAAACATCACCACATGCAAATAAACAGACCGACTGTGGAAGTATTTGGCTGCTTTCCAGCTCGTGCCAGGTGCTACGAGTCGGGGTACTCCTCCCCACATAGAGCAGAGTTGAGCAGGAAGGCTGGGATTCATCAACCCATAACTGCAACAATTCAGAATTGAAACTGGATTTAGATAACAGGATAGATAGTGTGAGGCATATGAGTGAAGAATATAGCTTAGTTAAACTGTTAAAAACTATCCGTATTTGGAATGCAATAACCTGTTTTATTATTTAAAAACAAAAAAACAAAAAAAAAGAAACAGCGACATAACTGACCAGTTGATGCCCACCTGCCACCATGTCTTCACAGTGGGAATGGTGATCATCTTGCCTTCCGAAACAGGGAGCTCAGCCCCTTACCCCCTAGCAGGCAGGAAGTTATCAGATGTTAAAAACCAGTACAGAAAGAGGAATGCTCTCCTGGACTACAGTAGGAAGCACCAAGATTCTTGTTCCAACTAACCTGCCGGGACCCGCCTTTTCATCAACTTTCTCTTCCTTTCCACAATCTCCCGTTGTTCTAGCACATTAGCCTGCAGACAAAAGTAGGATTATATGTTGTAAGCCACAAGAAACAGTCGACAGGCACCGTTCAGAAGCAATACAACACCTGAAGGCTTAAGAACGTGATGTCACACATCCGGTCCAATGCCAAGGTTGACAGGACAGCTGGAGGACCCTGCACCCAGGGTGGCGTCACCTGCATAAGGGGTGGAGGGGGAGTTGTGATCAGAGGTCATGAACTTGGACAGTCATTTGGAACCCGAGTACGGCAACAGAAAAGGAATTATGGTTGGGGTCGTTGACTATTTGTTGTGGCATGCAACAGAGAGGTATAATAAACGATTTAAGAAAACAGAGCAGAAATTAGAAAGAGGGTAGCAGGATGGCTCACCTGGTTCTTCGCAAGTTATGTATGGCCAATTCCGATGGATGACAACGAAGTCAAAGATAAAACAGTAACTGATGACATGGCGGCAGGGCAAAGGCGTAGGATCCACTCAGCACAAAAAGCAGAAGGGCAAAGGATTAATAATTAGGAGAGAGCCCTCATGGGGAAAAAAATCAAATAAAAAAATTAGGAGAGAGAGGAGGGAGGTGTTTCGAGGATGTATGGATGCAGGGAGGAGTGGTGGCAGTTTGTGAGAGGCTTAAAGCCTCAGCAGAGCCCTGTATCGTCCGAAAAGGACGCGGCCCTAAGTGAAGGCTGCGCAGAGAAAATGCTGCCAGGCCTCTGGGGGCTGAAGTGAGGTATTGGGAGGAAGGCTGGAGACAGCCTCTTCACCTAACCACTAGGCCCAGCCTCCCCGTTGGTTGAAGAGGCTGAGGCCCTGGTCAGCCTGGAAGCTTCTCAGGTTTCCAGACTGGTGTGAGGCCAGTACCAGCCACGCTGTCGCCGCCTCCAGGAAGTGACACAAGGAAGGGAGGCCGCATCATTCCACACATTTGGAGGCACTGGCTGCCAGTGCCAGATCTGAGGGAAATGCACGTGCAGCTGCTCCTGCCTGGCGGCAGCCATAGTTGCCCCAAAAGGGAAGAAGGCGCACGGTGGTGGGGTGATCAGGGGACAAAAACAGCTGTGGGAACAGGACTTACCTGGCTATGGCCAAAGAGCACACTTCGGGTGGTCAGACTCTGCATCATTTTTGGAGGGAGAGAGAGAGAGAGAGAGAGAGAGAGAGAGAGAGAGAGAGAGAGAGAGAGAGAGAGAGAGAGAGAGAGAGAGAGAGAGAGAGAG